GACGTTGCCGTAAGTCGAGAGAGAGGGTCGGTTGGACTTGGAATGCGTGGCCCGAGGGCGAAAAGGTGAGCGTGGAGCTGCGGTGACGTTGTCGCGTCTAGCTTCCGAAAAGGCCCCGCGCTTGATTCGGGCTTTCCTTCGTATCATAGGCTTGCTCACTTGCACGCATTACTTTTACTATCTGCATGTCCTAATTTTTTCGAGTAATCGCACAAATTTGGTCAATATAATGAGTACTATTTTTCGCTAACTTGGAAATAATTTTTTGAATGGAAGTACAGTGAGACCCCAAGATGCGGACGTAATTGGTGCATCAAGAGTGTCCTTAAGTCGAAATGTACTCAAGTCAGGTCTTATTTTCCCTTAGACTTACATTATACATGTATAATTTTTAGTTGGTGTTTTATGTACGAAATACTCCCCATAATTCCATGAAAATAAAAAAAATTGTCTCCCAATTTAAACTGATTCAATCAATATATTTCAACACAATATGATAATTTGGGGAATTGAATACTGATACATCTGTACAGTACATAGAAATGTTGGCATGCTCTGTAAAAAAACATTCAAGTGAAAAAGAGAAGGAAGTCCCTCTATGCTGGAGGTAATTTTTTAAAATCAGCTAAATGGATGGTAAATTGGTCAGAGAAATGCCCAAGAACTTTTCTTACATCAATTTTGAGGTTGTAAATATCTGTTTCTTGTAATTTGGCCTGAAATGCATTTGCAATTTCATCATAAAATATCCCTATGTTGAGTCAGTGTCCTCATGTGGGGGTCTCACTGTACAGCATATTTAAAAAGGGCTGGATTTTCAGGTTATTGTTTAGTTGCGCGCCACTCCTGGTGGCGTCTTTTATTGGATGCATGAAGTACAGTAATGTCAAAGATAAAAATGGTACAGTCTTTGAATCATTTACTAACCTCTACTTCAAAGTTCGCTCCCAATTCTTGAAGTGAAGAGAATGTTGAAAGTACCCATCATCGGGCCTAGGAAATAATGTTTACCTGTGAAATACATTTCATGTTTTTTGGATCTGTATGTCCCTCAGACATTATGCTACCGATTCATTGGAAAAGCCGGAGCTTGGACAATTATGTTCCGGTAAAAAAAAGTTCAGATCTCCACCATTTCCGAATGAGAGATGCGAATTTTAAAAGTTTCAGTAATGAGCTCCTCAACGAGCAATAGTTAACATTTCTCAAGTAAAGGATGCCATTGAAGAACATCTTTAGAAAATGAACAAATAGCCAATTCTACGCTTTCGTAGTTTTCATACGATGATTTTATTGATTCCGGTCACCTGTAAACGGCAGACAAACTTTTAAAAGTTATTGTTCAGAATAAAACTTTTGAACTATACTTGGTAAGCCTTTGCCAAAGAAGTGGTACAGGTTCTTCACCCAGCACTCCCTGAAGTACTGGCACTTTGACACAGTCAAGCTTCTTCGCTTTCAGTGCATTTTCCAGAAATCCTCGAAGGATTCAAAACTACCCAAGTACTACTTACATTGCCGTCGACGCAAATTTAGTGCCATGGCTTTCCATGATACAAAAAATTAATTTTAAGAAAGCCAAAGAAGTTATAAATTTGGCACGCCCATCACATGAAAGACGAACGCAAAGTCCTGGTTTTTTTCGCTTGCTGTGATTTATGTTTTTTTGTTATTTTCTAAATAATGGCCTATACAGTCTCTACAACGAAATTCAGGGGAACAGAAACAAATTCGTTGCAGAGAGATACTTCTATTGTAGAGAACCCCTATTTAATTGGCAGAGAACCCTATGTCTATGGGACCAAATAGGAATTCGTTTCACAGAGAAAATCGTTATAGAGAGGATCGATCTTTATGTTTTTACGGAAATCCACACAAACAATCTTGGGACGTTGATCAAGTATAGTTTAAAACTTCGAATTAATTAAACATAAGGAAAGGCTTTTCCTGAAACACATCCACGCAGCCACAGTGCATATCACTGTGCAGTAATATTGCCGTAGCTGGGAAACAAATCATTCTAGTTGTCATCCTGGCTACTAAAAGGAAAAAAAAGTGTGACCGGGTAATAAATTGTGAGCACCGGAACAACTCACTGTTCCATAATCATGTCTGACATTCGATCAATGGAGTCCCTCCCCTCAACACGTTTTTTCTTCGCATTTGGGCTTGCTGCTTCCGCCTCAATGGATTTAATCCAACTTCCTGAAGTATACTGTATTAGGTATGACAACGTGTGGACGCTGGGAAGTACTGTACTGTACCCAACAACAATTGCGCAGCTCGTGGGAAGTTCATGAAAAGCCCTGACGGTTACATAGAGGTAAAAAACCGCGTACTTAACTGTCCGTAGTTGAACTTTACCTGTTCGTCGTTCTCCTTGCGATGAAAAGTATGCAAATTTCGATCCAGTTGAATGCAGTACTGTAATTGGAAATTATTGCTGAATTGATTGAATTGTTAGCGTCAGCTGTTGACGAGTTTTGAAAATTCTCGTCCTACTTCTTCCTTGTTCCACCCTGTATCAGCGGCTCCTCTGCGATGGAATAATCGGTGTATACATTTTGTCTTCGGCCCGTTTTTGAATCATTGAACACGGAAGACTCGGTCCTCTTTTGCCTCACTTATTTTATTTATTTATTTTCTGGTTCATTTTTGGCGCTATATTCGGCTGAATGGACAACACGAATGCTTCACCCGCCTTTGGTAGTCCGTTCGTTCGTTTTCCTGCTCGCTCATCGAAGTCGTCTTGGTCGTACGACGTGCATCAAAACTTGACCCGGGCGGTTGGCCCGCATAACTTTGGATCAATGAACGGGATTTTCTTTCCTTCTGTCTTGTCCCTTGGTTTTTTGTTGTGTTTTTCTGTGTGGTTTCCCTGCTTGGGATTCGATTCTGGGATCGCATCGATGGATGCGTTCGTTGACTTGATGTGTGCGTGTCATATGATGGCTTTCGTTTTCGAACGTTGCGATCCTGACGTTTGCCGCCGAGTAGAGAAACATGAATGGAATGTCCATCTCGTGGGACGTTGCATATAATTTTTATGATTTTTTATTTTTACGTGGCTGCTGTGGGCGTGAAAGCGAAGCGAATCTTGGGGAGTTACTTCTTGGGAGATGATGTATGTTCAGTATAATGGGAAAGCCTCGGCATTTTTTTTTCTGTGAGACTCGCTCTTACTCTGCTACGACACGGAATTTTGAAAAAAATTAAGATTCCCTCATCGGTCAAACTTGGATCGTCGTCGATGCATTTTTTGAAAAAATAAGGTGAATGGTGTTGTACGACTCACGGGAACGGATCATCCAAAGGATTCGTGCTACGCATTTTAACGTTCAAACCTTCCATTAAGATAATAAATACAGTTAAAAAAAAAGCTTGGCTATGACCAACTATTTGTTTAAATTTCTGCTCAATTCACATAAAGCTTGTGTTGGATAAGCGTGAGCGTGTGATCCGGATTTAACGAAATCCATAAAATGCTGATTATTTTTCTTTCATCGAGAACGTGGTCAGTAACGAAACTATAGAATCTTGTAAACTTGGGTAGGAATTTCTACCCGACTTGAACGGAATTGCAAGTCGGGAAGAAATCCTGATTTAAGTGCCGTAATCGGCATGGCCTTCGTTTTGCGGCAAATCTGGTTTGTAACAGAACAGCGGGGACTTGAAACGATTCGGATGATTATGTGTTTTTATGCCACCGTTTTATTGTTTGAGAACGGAATGTCTTCCGTGTTTCTTGTAACCTACCCATTTCGCTTGGATTTGACAGAACTTCTGACATTTATTTTGTTACCTGATTTTTTTCTCTCGCTTGTTCCGTTCCCGATATTTTTCTTCTGCAGACCTTGACGATGAATCTGATGGGATAATGTGGTAAATTGAAGTGTATTTTGGAAAATTTGCGTTTTATCGTTTAGAACCTGGTTGACCAAGCGAACATGATACAGTATCTGGAGAAATTTCAGAATATAAATTTCAAAACTCATTTTCTCCTTGCGGGTCGCAGCTGATTTCACACTTGATTTTGACGGAATTTCAAGTCGGATAGAAATACTGATTTTAAATCCCGTAATCGGCATTGCCTTCGCTTTGCGGAAAATCTGGTTTGTAACAGAACAGCGGGGACTTGAAATCCTTCAGATGATTTTGTGTTTTTTATGCCGCCGTTTCATAGTTTGAAAACGGAATGTCTTCCGTGTTTCTCATTGAGGATCTAATGGATTCTATGTTCAATCATCCTAAATCCTTGATTGTTATGTGAACAGCGGAATACAGTGGCAGCTTGTAATTTAATTCCCATCACCTGTATGGTTGCTTGACCTTCGGAACACGACCAACGACAAGTTTTCAACAAAACTCATGTTCAGTTTTGTTTCCTCGTCGCTGTATTTTCAATGAATGTACGGAACAAATCAGATCGGCTTCATTCGATCCCGCAGTCGAAAAAAAGGTAGTGCTGTTCAACCCTCGGGCACTAGGAGACTCTTGCGTCTTACCTACTATGAATCACCCTTTCAAGAGCGTTGATATCGTTTTCTCGGAACAGCTCCTGAACAACAGAGAAAATTACCTCAGACCCTCAGGACTTATGCCTGAAGATAAGTCCAGTGCGATTACCTTTCAATTATATGATCCTGAACGACTTGAGAGTGCGCGTGATTTGACTGCACGTGATTTTAAATGGAAGATTTGATTTCAAGTTGTACGTCTTCATCATTTGTCTCTTCTCCTGAAGCCTTTTGAATGATCCTCTTGAAATTACCAGTAGGCGAAAATTACGATAGAAATTCGTCTGATTTTTTCCGATGTATTTTTTTCTTATGATCGGAGCCACATAAAATTGTTTTACAGGTGGACTCTATTTCCAACGAAATTTAAGGGACCAGAAAGCATTCCGTTGTAGAGAGACTTTTGTCGTAGGAAACCTGGTGTAATATTTGAGAACCTTATGGGACCAGAAAAATTCTTTAAAAAGAAAACTGACAAGATCGTCGTGGGGGGAGTCCACCTGTATTTCTTCGAATTGGCTTGGTTTCACTGTACATAAAAGCATCAGTGGATGTATGTGCAGAATCAGTGAAAATACGTAATTTTATTATTTTTTGTTCATATTTAATTCATTGGCTTCTTTAATAAAAAAATTTCCAGCTGGAATTCTTTACATTTTTATTCACTTACGCTTTTTCCCACCTCAGGACCAAATTCTCAAAAGTGCAGGTTAAATATTTGACCTTACAATAAAAACGAAACGCAAGACAATATCGCGGAACGAAAGGCAGGTTAACAACAAATGGCTCTCGAAAAATGCATGACTAGAGCTTTTCTGCTTCACTCTTCATTTTTCATGCAGTTCCATGAAATATCAGTTGATGATTCGAGTCAGTCTCGACGACGAGCTGCGTATACCAAAGGAAGTACGACTGCGATCGCCACCAAAGTTACAGGATACCAGAGAACGTCGTATGCATTCTCAGTTGTTGTGACCAACCGCGTGTCCCACTGTACTCTCTCTTTCCGCTTCAACCTTGAGAGAGTAATCATGATTTGATGAAAAATTATTTTTTCCTGGGGTTAGATCCGGTTTTATGAATGTTCCATGAATTTTCAAGCCGTCTACGTTCTGCCAAATACTGTTTATCACATGCTGCAGTTGAAGAGCAAGAATTTACAAACCATGTAAAAAAAACGTAACATCATCCGACATTAGGCAATTTTTTATGTAAAATAATTCATCATCTTCGCCAAATCGATTGTTTCGAAACAATCGAATAAACTGCAAAATCAAAAAGTTTTAAGAAGTGTTTTCGTCCGCTTACGTTACTGCTTTCATATCTAAAAGAAAACGCAGCATCATGGAATGGTTGCTCAAGAAGCTGTGAAGACAGTTTCACGGCGATTCCAAATGCTTCCACTATTCAACTGCTACACAATGGATTCGATGAAGAATTCTGATTTGGTCAGAATGGCCGTTCGTCCTTGGGACCCTAATCACCGGATGATAATACTTGGCTAACCTTACAAACTTGACAAGATGACGCGATATGACATGACTCCCGACTAGGATGCACTGTACATTGTATATCATTTTCAGGAATATTTCCACAGATTTTCTCGATTCCCTCGTTCAAAAATTTCATTGATCGCCCAACTTCGCGAAGGAGTTGGGAAAACAAAAATCTTTTGGTAAAGTTAGCTTATTTTCTCCCAACCCAAAATTTCATTATTTTAGTTGAAAGACACTCGCACAAGTTCATTTTCAAAAACTTTGTAGCAAGTGTTGTGTCCTCATCAGCTCATGAGACCTTTTATCGCTATGCAAATTTGGGGTCATGACGATGATCGGCAGTGTCAGAAATGATTGCACGTTTGAGCTGTGTTTCTAGTGTGGGTATGGCGAAACGAAGTCTTTAGAGCTCATTGAGCTGGCGCTCAGTTGTCTCAACGTTCGATCGAGTGGCGCTCATCTGAGCTTGGCACTCACTTGACCCCGCACCCGAATTATCAGTACAGTATAGTGAACTTCATGCGTAACAGTTCGCAGGCACGGGGAAGGGGAAACTAACGGGTTAGTCTTGTGCTTCGCGTGCTTCGAATGTTTGACCGGAGGCATTAGGGATTTCGGCGCCGTCGCCGAGCAGCACGAATTGACTAACAGAAACGGCTCTTCGGTCTGCGCCCCGCTCTCTGACAGCTCGGGTTGTCTTTGTGGTGGTGGTGGTGGCGGTGATGGCGATGGCGGCGGTGTGAAATGCTCCAAATCGATTTCAGCAGCCTCGGTTTGCATTTCACTGCTTGCGAATGATTTGGGCGTCGTCGTCGTGCAGTCGCTGAAATTGAGAGCCGAGCAATTCTTGCTCGCGATGAACTTGCTCTCCAAGGCGTCCCTCTTTTGATTGACGGCAGCGATCATTTCGAGCAGCGTTTGGCTGAATTTGTGCACCGTTGGATTGGCTGAGACGGCAGAGAGACGCGATGCCAGAGACGACTCGCTGACGGAAGGCAGTTTTCGCTTGAAGTTTCTTCTGTAGTCTACAGCATCATTTAGATGCGATTCGAAAATGTCGGGGCATGTAAGCAGCTTGGAAGTTGGCTGGTCGAGCGTTTCCAGGGAGTCGTAAGTGTCTTCAAAGCGCTCAGTCGTTGAGGCGGTTCGAGTGTCGCAAGAGACTTTCTTGTGCACGTTCAAGTGCGGCACTCGAAGCTGGTATTGAGCAGGCAAGGGTTCGGAGCAAAGAGCTTTATCGCCGTCGTCATAATGCAAGAAGCCTCCTTGATGCCTTGCCATGGTCGCGGGTTTCAAGGACCTGTGGGGGGAGATTTTGATGCCATTTTAGGGCTCGGGCGTCGAGATTTGCTATTGCCCAACTTAAAAAAAAAATTACCTTTAAATTTGAAGACTTCAAAAGGTACTCATGAAAATTTTATTGAAATTGGACTGTGTGAAAGAAATAAATAATCTTGATCGTTACGATAACCACTTGTTTTCGTATCTCTGGGCGAAACGATAATTCTCTGCTATGCTCTTGACTTGTCTCATGGGCAATGAAAGAAAAACAGAAATGAGAGAATTTACGTGATAAGGCACCCCACTATATCTTTTTCGGAAAAAATTGTAATTTAATTCATAGTCGAATATGAAGAAAAGGTTAAGCCACTACCTTGAAGTGCTTAACTATGAATTAATTCCAAAATAATTTGAGGAGAGAGGTGCTTAATCGTTCTGTGAGCCGCTAACAATATTTCCCGATTCAGACGTATACCGTATTTACGCGAATTATATAAAAGTGCGAATATGACCAACTTCCCCGCCTAGTTTTTGAGATTCTTAACTTGAAAAAAGGTGCTTATATTCGCGTGAATACAATAAATGGCATCTGCTGGTACTCGAATCATTCGCTACTACCAACAGTTGAAGAATGAATTCAGATTACCCTTTGAAATTTCTTCTTTTCCTTAACGAATACTGACCTTTAAGTTGGGATGATGTCACGAGTCTGACATGTCATGTCTGACATATGGTTCGTGACATTCCACGTTCACGAATCAATAGACTGAAACCAACTGGTGCAGGGCAATCTTGCCGAAAAGAATACCGAATAACTCAAAAAATTAATTTTTATGCCCCAAATCATGCCGTGTTTGACTGCAATTACTGAACACTTAGCCCCTAATACTTTTCTCTTCTATTAACTGTAAATTGTTTACAATATCATCTGATTAGATCTTCAGTTGTGATTTGAGGAGTGCACATCTGACACCCCTACATTTACCACTTCGCGCACCAGCTTGACAAGTACCACTGGTGGTACGCGTACAGCGAGTTGAATAACCGTAAAGTGGCGTGTGAATCACCTTGCATTTAGACGGAGCATTTCTCTCGCTTTTCCTCTGAATTGAGCTAGCGAAAAATCCGTCAATTTTCCATTTTCAGTGGAAGTTGCGAAATATGTATAGTAGTACATGATTGGTTTTGCAGAAACTAGCTCTTGTTCGCTGAAATTAGTTTCGGAATTTCCAAACAAAGCCGTTATCGTCGCCGCCAAAAAGAAAATGTAAAAATGGTTCGAACGATACAGTACAGTGATCGGCGGATAAGAAGGGCCAGCATTTTAACGTGAACGGGCAATAGAAATGAAGAGTAATAACTTTTCTTTTTTTCAAGCGTATTATGTTCGTACATTGTGCCATTCATAGCGAAATTGTGAAAGCTGTTCATCCAATAAACGACGAAACAAAAGTTAGTATTTCCTACCGTATGCAACGTTATGATGGTACAGTAGTATAGAATCAAGGATGTCGTCGTGTTAATGTTCTTCTGCTTCAAATTTATGATTCATGCCAATTTCGGAAGAAGTTTGTCTAGTAAAAATAAAGAATTGTGTGTGTACCTGTGCTCATGTCTGAACTTCGCTAATTTAACCCCGAGAAATGCCCAGATTTGCCTTGTTGACGCATTAATGGACAAGACCAGAAATGTTTCCACAAACTATATTTATGTGCTAATATAAGTAATGGCAAAAGGGTAATGGGCAAGCATTTAGGATATCCTTTTAGAGGGTAATGAGGAACGATTTTTTCTGGAGCATTATTTACAACTAATTCCAGATGTCCCAAATTCAACGGTTCATTTTAAAATAAAGAATGACTCACATTTCACGAGCATAATTCACCATTTCACTAGTTGAACTGACATGGTAGATTCAGAATACTGAACAGCGATGTATTAATTTTCTCTATTTCCTCATCCTGGCATGTCAATATTTCCGTCTCGCCTTGTGGGAATTCAAGATGTAAAAGTTGAAGCATATTTAAAGATTCCCGCACGCATGGCATTTTAATTCGAATTTTTTATTTACTGGCGTTTCAAGCGGAATGACCTGGGAATTCTTGGTGAATGCATCATCTAGCTATTCTAGCAAGTTTCCTCGTGTATGAACTGCTGGCTAAAAATCCGTATTCCTTTATTTTATTTTCGAAAACCACGCATTTAAATTGTTGTACAAACAAAGCAGGAGTTATTTTTCTCGTTCACACCGTAACTGAAGTAGCCGCGTCGCAAAGCTCT